TCGCCCCATGTCACCACGGAGCCATCACCAAGGATGGCAGCAAAGGCATCAAAGGTTGCTTGCATCTTCTGCACATTCTTTAGTTGATCTTGTAGTTCATTGCTGTCGCCACACCCGTCAGGACCGCCGCAGGTGACGACGGAGCCGTCCCCCAGGATCGCAGCAAAGGCGTGGTCAGATGTTTGAATCTGCTGCACGTTCTGCAGCGGCACGGAGTCCGTTGCGGGAAGTGACCAAGGACGCGGACCTCGGCATGCTTTCAGTGCATAAAATCGACGCTTCGTCAGTGCGAGCTCTGGACGATGCTCCGTCCAGAGCCCGCACTGACGAAGCGTCGATTTTATGCACTGAAAGCATGCCGAGGTCCGCGTCCTTGGTCACTTCCCGCAACGGAGCCCTCCCCCAGGATCTCAGCAAAGGCTCTCTGAGTTGTTTGCATCTGTTGCCCATTCTGCAGCTGATCGAGCACAGAACTGCTGTCACCACCAGGAACACCCCAAGTCACGACGGAGCCATCACCAAGGAGCGCAGCAAAGGCTCTGTGAGTTGATTGCATCTGCTGCACATTCTTCAGTTGATCTCGTACTCCACGGCTGTTGCCACCACTGTCATCATGGCCCCAGGTGACGACGGAGCCGTCTGCCAGGATCGCAGCAAAGGCAAAAAAGTTGCTTGAATCTGCTGCACATTCTGCAGCTAATCTCGCACAGCACTGCTGTCACCCCCGAAGTGAGCGAGGCCCCAGGTCACCACTGCGCCATCAAGGAGGATAGCAGCAAAGGCCGCGTGAGTTGCTTGAATCTGCTGCACAGTCTTCAGCTGGTCTCGCACGCCACTGCTGTCACCACCGCAGCTACCCGCGCCCCAGGTCACCACGGAGCCGTCGCCAAGGATCGCAGCAAAGGCGTGCACAGTTGCTTGGATCTGCTGCACATTCTTCAGCTGGTCTCGCACGCCACTGCTGTCACCACCGCAGCTAACCGCGCCCCAGGTCACCACGGAGCAGTCGCCAAGGATCGCAGCAAAGGCGTGCACAGTCGCTTGGATCTGCTGCACATTCTCCAACTGATCTCGCACAGCACTGCTGTCACCACCGGAGCCAGCAACGCCCCAAGTAACCACGGAGCCATCACCAAGGATCGCGGCAAAGGCATCAAAGGTTGCTTGAATCTGCTGCACATTCTTCAGCTGATCTCGCACAGCACTGCTGTCACCACCGGAGCCAACATCGCCCCAAGTCACGACGGAGCCATCACCAAGGATCGCAGCAAAGGCTCTGTGACTTGATTGAATCTGTTGCACATTCTGCAGCTGATCGCGCACAGCACTGCTGTCACCACCCTTGCCAGCATCGCCCCAAGTCACGACGGATCCATCACCAAGGATGGCAGCAAAGGCAAACCCTCTTCCACAGATAGCGACTGGCCGAACTTGAAGAGTTAGTGGCTCCTCATGTTGCAGCCTGGCCTTTTTGAGCTGCGCCCCACCATCAAGAACGCTTCCAGAGGAGTCCAACAGTCGACCCTTGCCAACTCCCAGGGCTCTCTGTGCACGCACCCTCAGCGTCTGCACAGATTCGTCCCCGTGCATCTGCAGCGAAACCGTCTTGCCACTTATGAGGCTAACCTCAACCATCAGTGACATGACGAATACTTCAGCTTCGGGTCAATCCATGGCAAAAATGCCGAATTCTGGGGCACCGAACGCACTGCAGGATTGGTAGGCGCCATGCGTTACGAGCATTCCTGTGGTATGTGGCAGCTATACCGAACAGACGTATGACGTGAGCACGTTGCAATCCAGAAGCTGCTTAGCTTAGCGGATACTGCAAAGCTAAAACTGAAAACCGTACTTGACAAAAATCAAGATAACATAAACAATAAACCATTACATAATTAAATAAAGATAATGACCCTAAGCGCCGGATCTCGAAATACTCGCAGTGTTGCAGCTAGCGTGCTGGTGATCAAGCCCTCTATCCCCGTAAGACCCCCGGCAAAACACCCTTGTAGACCCCTTGCAGAACCCCTTAATGACACAATTTCGAGACCCTTTATGGAACCCTAATGCCTATGTCAGGCCCTCGACCGGCCTTGCATGCGACCGGATGCCGTAAAAACCGAATTGCAGATCCGAACGCCTACAAATCCTGTTTAGGTTTAGGGAAATTCAGCTTTTGTGGAAACCTTGCTCTATACCGCCCAATCATGGAATCCTTAAAGCCACAAAACATCAGTTTGAGCAAGCCGTTGTGTTGCCATATACTGGCAAGCTTGCAAAGCCGTCCCACGGAAAAAAGTATCAACCGAACATAGGGGCCCATTAGACTATGACTATAATAAGGCACCCCCCAATCAGTATGGGTAATTATTTAGGGCCCTAAAGTAAACTCCCATAATACCCTTGTTGTAATCCTTATATATAGACCCTTTTAAAAAGGAACGCTTGAAACTCACCTGTAGGCCCCTATAGTAATTGGAAGAAAGCCTCAGAATGATCACTTCATCCCTGAATGCTCCTTCGGTGATCTGAGCTGGGCAAGCCGGTTCTCCTGACATAAACTCGGGCAGCTAGGATTCAATATAGAGGCCTTCATCACTAGAAGAAGGATTTGGGGGTATATTAAACTCTGAGTAGTATAAGGAGACCCCCCGCAAAATAGTATACTTTTTTGCAGACTCCAGAGCCCTATATTACGGTTCCGCAAAATAGTATAGGTAGTTATTTAGGCCTCTATATTACGGTTCATGGTTTGAGGTTCTGGGGGTTTCCCTGTGTGCAGCAGGATGCTGTGATCGCAATATTTGCTTCTAGCGCTTCATGCTAACACCGCCGTTCTCGCAGACATTAGACTGCATCTCTGTTCATATCGACTTTGCGAGCTCATCTCCAAGGCAGATTTACGGCATAAGGTGCGCTCCTGAGCTTCTGGAAAGGTTTAGGGCTGGTTTGGGCTACCAGCAGGACGGGAAAGCTGTAGTTCGACGCCCAAATCGACAAAAGCGTCCTGCTTTCTAGAAACTGATGTCTCTCCTGTGATATGGATTTCTGACTGGCAGGTATAAGCCCTCAAAAACACACCAGCTCAGTCATTCTGCTGCAAAGGCAATCTCAGCCCAGCGTTTTGTGAACATTGGAAGGATGTCGCAACACCCTACTTAAAGGATCATGGGACTTAGTAAGTAGGGTATAATTTGGTTTATAAGTCCCTTAAGTGGGGCTATCCCTAGTTATAACCTACCGATAACCGTGCTTACCAAGTCCAATGAGCCTTTAAGTACAACCAAACCCTAAACTCGATCCCTAAACCCTAAACCCTAAACCCTAAACTCCAAAAACCCCAAGCCCTGAGCCTAAACTCTTGAAGCACCCTTAGCCTCATCGAACCCTCGGCCCTAAGCCCCCGAAGCAAAGGCGCTGGGCCTAGGGTTCCCATAAGGGCTCCAACATGTTCCAACTATATGCACCCTTGTCCTTTTGGCAACAATAGACAGAGCCCTATACCTATATCCCTTAGTAGGAATTATTTAAGAAGGTCTACTAGCCGGTCTGTTTATTCTTCTGGGGGAACCATGAAAAAGGACAAGGCCGACTATATGGTCTACCATCCGGGTCCGGGCTTTCTTAATTGTACTACTAGCAGTGTTCTACAAGACCTAAACCCTTTTGAACCCGGGCTTGCTGGCTGCCAGGACTGACCCTCCGACAATACCTAAACCCTTTTTGAACCCAGACTCTGCCTAAACCCTAAACTCTAGACCCTAAACCTCAAAAAGGCTTAGGCTTAGTCCGTCGGCCTGGATCCGACGGAGTTTTCCAAGCTCCGAGCGGGTCTTTGAGCGCAGCTTTTGCAGCTCCTGCTCACTGAAAGGCTCATGGGACTTAGTAACTAGGGTTCCAACTAGGGTTCCTTTCAGGCATCTATCCGGGTTCTATAGGGGGGAGTTTTTCTTGCTTAAAGGCTCATGGGACTTAGTAAGTATGGTTTAGGGCTCCTTGTAAGGATACTATAGGATTCTATAATTGGGTTCCCTGTAAGGGTTTGGGGTTTAGGGTCTACTTAAATGGCTCATGGGACTTAGTAGGTAAGGTGAAAAGTTAGTTGTAAGTTATCAGAAGGATATTGTTAGGATAACCAATAAGGCCCCTGATCCTTTAAGCCAAGGGAGCGGGCGGATGTCGAGAAATAGGGGTCTTACGCGATTTTCATTCATGCAACATCACACGAACTTCGAGCCCCATATTGGCCTAGAGACTCCAATATCCCTTAATTAAGGAATATTCCTTAAATCATATTAGGGATCCTACCATAATTTAAGGAATATTCCTTAAATAAGGGATATTGGAGTCTCTGGGGGGTTCTGTTTTATCTACCCTGTTCAGAAATAGGCAGCAGCAGTACTGTAGCAGCTCTGTGGCGAGCAGAGCTCAGTGACCCAACGCTGGCAAACCTACGAAAGTCCCACAGGCCTCCACGGCATGAAAAGTTGACACTAATTTACGGGCCTTAATAATTTTAACAGGGCTTTGGGGCCCATTATACCATAGATATAATAAGGAAACCCCAAGTAGTGTAGGTAATTATTTAAGCCCCTATAGGCCCTATAGTATGCGGGAGAAACTTCCTTAGCCAAAGCCCCACAACATTCTCTCAACTAGGCGGAGGGATCAAGCTACACCCGAAACTACGAGGTGGAACTTTCTTCCAGGATCTCAGTATATGCCTTCATTGAAGATGTAAAGGACAGACCAAACTCTCGCCGATCCTCGGGATGTGTTACCACGTTGACTTCATGTCTGTCGGTGTGTCCGGTAGGCTGCGGCACCTTCATCTGCACCCCGACACCCTTCACAAGTCTTACAATGCCTACGACATCGCAGTGACAAGCACATCGTTTGTTGCGGGCTGGAGATCTGCATGTGCCCTGCATGTCAGAGCAAGCCAGCTAAGCTCCACTTTTATTGGACGCGCGCTGTCTCAAAATGACACGAGCAAAATGCTACGCTATACGCTGCTTCTTTGACCCTTCACCGTATCTGGAGTAGTCCACGCAGCGGCAGTTCTTCATGCCACACTTTCGGCAGAACTCTCCTTTCATGGCTAACATCATTCGCTTGTCACCCTCCGACTGCTCTTCCGACCAGTCCAAGATCTTCGTGGGCTGGTTGTTCGAATACGCGCGATCAACCAGCGAGGTCTTCGCTATGTCTGCTGAGATCCTAGGCTCCAGACTATGACCTTTATAATAAGGGTACCCTTTTCCTACTCTTCGGTTTGAATAGGGGAACCCCCAAGTACAAAAAGCAAAAGGGTACTAATTACTCAGGAACCTAGTAGACCCTAAACCCCTACAAATCCCTCATAGAAGCCCTTTAAGGATCCCTTACAGAGCCCCTGTAAGGAACCCTTTAAAAGGGTACCACTCAGGAACCTAGGATCTTATCCTGGTACTCTAGGAGGGCCTTCTGGGAGTCTGTGTCGGTGACGCGGGTGTTGTTCAAGTGCAGCGTCTGCGCGCCGGCCTTCAGGACGAAATGAACCCTAAAAGGGTTTAAGGTTCATATTATACCATGATATAGGGATTCATAGTATATGGTTATAGGGCCCTATACTTTTAAGAGTCGTTTGGTCCTTCAGGTGCCTTGATGGCCAAGGCCGCAAAGTCGCCGAACTTCTGGTCTGGCATCTTCGTTCCCGCTTCGTCGGGCCTTGTTGGCGTCATGTTCTTGTTCACCTTTCGAGCCTCTCCTCGTCGGATTTTATACATGTCACCATGACCTGTCTGGTAGAAGCGCTGCATTTCTGCGGGGTCTGTCATGTTGAAGATTGGACCGGAACCCTGTCCATCTTCTTCGATGCTACTGTACACGGACTTGGTCTTGGCCTTTCGTCCCACGAAGTGAAGCGCACCTTTCCTGGAAGAGAAAGGGCTGTAGAGCATGAACACTTCGCCAACGGTTGTGGTCACCACCAGCTGGTTCAAGTCTTTCTGCCACACTATGCGGAGCGGCGACTTCTTGCCGAAGTCCAGACTCTTCACTAGACCAAAGGTCTTCACGTCATAGATTCGCAGGGTTGCGGAGCCTAAAGCCCCCTTGGCAAGGGAAGTACCCGTCACCAAGTAGCGCCCGTCTGGCGATGTGCAGATGCCGGTCTTCTCGTGCGCGGTTCGCAAATCATCGAAGACCTTCACAGGGCCCTTGGCATCTGAGAGCATCCGGCAGTCCCAGACTTTCATGGAGTTGTCCAGTGACCGAGTTACGAGGAGGTTGCTCTCGCTGCCCTCCGGTATGAAGCCCACGTCTGTAAGAGCTTCTGTGTGGGCACTCCTGAGGATCCTGTCAGGCCTCATGAAGCGTGCTTTGTCAAAGAAGAGCTGAACCGACCCGTCACTGCAACCACCGACAATCTTCTTCGCATCGGTGGGCGAGTAGACACAGCACGTGGGGTAAAGGCCCCCCGTTTTCCCAGATCCTCCGCCCACGCAAACATTGCGACGGTCTACCGTCTTGAGCACATGGATGGACGGTAATTCCTGGTCCATGCCAACAGGATCTGCAGTCATGTCCCACATCCGCATAGTGCCATCCAGAGAGGCTGTCAGAAACAACTCGCTCCTAAACGGGTGCCACATGCCCGATGTCAGAACCTGTGTATGGCCCTTAGTGTGCTCCATCTGACGGACGTACATGTCACCCTGAACTGTCTGCTGAATGGGCTTGGTAGAGCCATCACGGTCGTAGATGCGCGCATGGATGTCTGCATTGACCACCAAGACCTCGGAGCTTTCGAAAAGAAAATGACCCCGGACATGTACGTATGTATGCATGCATGTATGTATGTGTATGTGCATACATACATACATATATATATATATATATATATATAATATAATTATACACATATACATATAAACACATATACATATATATATATATATATGTACATATATGTATTTGTTCTTTATTTTCGAATGCACCCCTACATGGGACACCCCTAAGTGTCACAAACCCCCACCTGCCCTCCGGTGGTGCTGAAGGAGATGGCATGAGCCATCTTCCCCTCGACCGGTTCCAGGCTCCGGAAAGACTCTTTGGCCTCATGGGATTTTAGGGTTTGAAGTTTCATGGTGGGTGGAGGGTGCAGGCTTTTTGCTACTGGATTTTAGGGTTGAGGGTCCAGGGTTCAGACTCATTGGCCTCAGACATGCCATGGAAGTCGAAGAACTTGAACATTCCGTCCATGCTTCCTGCAATCATCCGAGAGCCCTTAGGATCCAGGCCAACAGCCGTCACTGCCTTGTCATGGCATGGAATGTTCACTTCATGGCTGACGGGCAGAAGTTCATTCTCCTTTCCGGGCTCGGGAAGCTCATCGGGCTCCTCAACCGGTGCCGGGGCACGCTGCTTCGCGGTGACGACGGGGCCCGTCGGACTGTCCTCCTCTTTGCCTTCAGCCTCCTCCGCCTCTGCCGCCTCTACAGCTGCCTTATGCAGGCGGGCGGTGGCGCCGGCAACAGAGGCTGCATCCTTTGCCCGGTGACCAAACTGCACGCCACCAGACTTTGCAGCTTTCTCCTGCCCTCGAGCTCCTTTCTGCGCCCGCTGCGTAGCATTGTGTGCTTCGGGGCCAACAGTCTTTACGGGCTTCTGCTTTCCAAAGGACAGAGGCATGTTGAAGCCCTTCAGCTCTTGCATCTCCATCGGCATCTCGGTGTCGGAGCCATCGCCTCCCATCTGCTGAGAAGGGAAGTTACCGCTAGTCTCCTCCATGTTTGCCGAAGTCTCCTCGGGCTTTGGGGCCTTCCGTGTGGGGCCGGAGTAGCGCTTCGACGCCCGCATGGCTTTCATCTCCTCTTCGTCGGAGTCCATGGTGCAGGCACCGGTGCGCGCAGACGCGTTGCGCAACTGCGACGAGTTTTCTTCACTGACAGGCCTACAGTAGCGACTGCAATCGGTAAAATGCACTGTAGGGCAGGGCTTGAATTCTATGGCAAAGTGGCCGAGGCTCTACAAGCAAACAACGTCCGTGTGTGGCATGTGCTGCCAGATTTGCTTGCTGAGGCGTGTGTCAACCAGGCTGACTGCTAAACCCACCACGCTAAACCCCATGCCTGTCTGACGTGGCCATCATATGGAGTGACCTTAGTAACTTACCCATGCAGTTGGAAACCGGATTAAGGCCAAATAGTGCTGGGATTCCCTATACATTACTCTTAAAGATTGAGGCCATTGGGTTTCCAGTTTTTTGGCTTCTGCTGTAGACACCTGAGCCAAAAATGTGGCACGAGCAAATCGGATGAGGCAGGTCCTCTGCAGGCCAAAATTGCCAACTGCAGTTTCAGAATTTGGTGTTCATATGGGTGGTTGTCAAATTATGGTCCCTTCTTGGGTATCCTAGACATGAGGTGCCGTATTATAATAAGGACCCAAAAAGGGACCCTAATTTTGAGAACTACCATATCCTGGCCCTGATTGGCACTAGATCGTGGCCCTTTTTGACCCAGACTCTGCCAATCAGCTGAGGGTCTACTTAAAGACTCATGGGACTTAGTCAGTAAGGTTATAAGAAGGTTATAATTAGGATAACCCCACTTAGGGGACTTATAACCCCAGTTATAACCTACTTACTAAGTCCCATGATCCTTTAAGTAGCCCTGAACCCCTAACCGTAACATGTCGGAAATCGATCGTCCTTCGCTGCTCGCGCACGCTCCGCTTGGGTCGGCGCAGTGGTCGTCTCCTCCACCAGACCTGCCACAAGGAGGGTGTCCCCCGAAACCCTTAAATAAGCCCTAATGAGGCCAAGAAAATACAAGGATCCGTGCAAACAGAAGCTGATGTTAGCTAGACAGACTCCTTTTCCGTCGTCGAGCCATGGAATCTGGAAGGACATGTTGTTCGGAAAACATTAAGGCCTTCAGCACGTCTAGGACCACACACACTCGGATCCCCAACTCACAGAATCATGTCTCTCAATCAAGATTTATTTAGTATATCCATGTAAGCACAAACTAAATCCTGATACACACACACACACACATATACATATATATGTATATATGCACAAATACTTATACATGTATATATATATATAGTCAGGATTTAAGACTTCGGGCTCAGGGGTTTCGGATTTCAGGCCTCGAGCCACGCCAGGTCGGAAGGGTCCAAGTTTGCAGCGTTGGATGTATTCCTTGCAAGTCTGCTGAGTAGGGATGCAGGTCTTTGTGGCAACGGCGGCTGCTCGAAGTTACCACTAGTAATGCCAGTCTGCTCCTGGTCTGCTGCAGAAATCATAACCGGCGGATGAGGACAACGAGAAGCAGAAGTAGCAACAGCAGCTTGCATTCTGCTAAGTTCAAGTGTACGCCCCTCATGCTCCTACTCTTGCATACTCTTGCTCCTGCATGCTCCAGCTCCCGGAAGCTCCTATACCTATAACTACTACTTCTATTCTAGTCCTCCTCCTCCCTCCCTTCCTTCCACGAAAACGGCTTCTTCTTCTTCTACTACTACTACTGCTACTACTACTACTACTACTACTACTACTACTGCTACTACCACTAACTACTACTACCACCACTACCACTACCACTACCGCTACTGCTGCTGCTTCTGCCCCTATTACTCCTACTACGACTACGACGACGACTACTACTTCTTCTACTACTACTCCTGCTACTGCTACTGCTACTACTACTGCTCCTTCTCCTCCTGCTGCTGCTGCCGGTATTGCTACTGCCACTACTACTACTACTACTACTACTACTACTACTACTACTACTACTACTACTACTACTACTACTTCTACTACTACTACTACTGCTACGACTGCGGCCACGACTACTAGCGCGAGCCTGCTACTCTGACAACCACTCTACTGCGACTGATGCTGCTTCTACCACGGCTACCGGGCTCATACCAAGAGTTAGCTGCTTCCCATCAAAATGTTTCTGAAGTTCTGCTACAACACCGCTCAGCAAAACAAAGCTCTTTGCAGGGATCGCAGCCGCTGTATGTTGTCGTGAGTGGCTTAAACCTCAAGCCGCTGTTTCACACACGAAGTTCCTCTGATGCGGCACCTACGGCAAGAGCCTAAGCCCTGATATCCAAATTCCCCCAAACCCTTTCAACGCAACAGAATTGATGTCCAACAACCCTGGGGCTTACTGACACCTGGTGCGCGTTTCTGCAGTGAGTGGATTTCGTTACAAGTTTTCATCCTATCACCATAAAACAAAGCTTGCCCCAAAAACCACTACAGTAGAAGCCGGAAAGATGGAACATCATTAGCCTCATGCCCTTAATGTAAAGTGTATGCAATCCCAGCATGAATCATCCTAAAATTCTGAAATCTATGTTCCGACTTTCTGGGATACACTATATATGCAACGGGCCTGCAAGCAATCCGCCAGAAAGCCTGCCAGCTAAACCTCGAACCTGCTGATTTAATGCGCCGGTCCCAGTCATTTGCAGCCAGAAATCGTCGAGTGCGGTCAGGTCCGAATCAAGCAACTCCCGGATTCCTCCCCATGGGGTTTAAACACTCGCAACTCCGACTCGCCAGACGAGGTCCATGGGGTTAGGGTTTAGGGTTCTTTGTTTTGGGCCTTTTGGTTGATGACTTAGGACTTCATTTTCTAACTACTTAAAGTCGCATGGGGCGTAGTAAGGTTATAAATAGGTTATAATTAGCATAACCCCACTTAGGGGACTTACAACCCCAATTATGACCTACTTACTACGTCTCATGGTCTTCTCATGAGAAGTCACGGGAGGCCCTGTGCAGGTTCAGTCGGGGTGCTTGCGTCACGTAATACACGGCCCGTAACAATTAGAATAGCGCTTTGGGACCCACTCTACTATACTTAAAATCACGAACCCCCAGAATAGTATAGATAATTATCAAGGCCCCTATAACTACTAAAAGAGCGTGACTGTGTACTCATGCTGCAGGCACATGTGGCCGAAGTACAGTCGACAATCGGTCAACCTCCGTAGTTCACCAGGCTCTACTTCCCAGTCTAGACGGACCCTATGCCGGTTCTCAGAATACTAGATGAAGAATGGCAGCCACACTCGTATTGACCATAAGATAGTTACTTGTACAGATCGTGCTAATTCCAAACTGCCGCAGTCAAAACACATCTCTTGCGCTTCTTCTCCAACTGAAGACGGCTCGTGGTAGCTCGTTCACGGATGCATTTGCACAGAGTTCTGCGGCTTCGTGGCGCTGCACAAGGCTGCTTTGATACTTAAAGGCTCATGGGACAGTGAGTAGGGTTGTCATTGGGGTTGTAGGCCCTCGTAAACACTCGTCGCTACTACGGGTGCCGCAGTCCAAGAAAGCCGAACAGGCGCTCAAAACGAGCTTGGTGGGTACTACGGTTGATGTTATAAATCCTGCATTACCTACTATTCGATTTATGGCATATTCCTTGTTGTGGGTAATGCAGGGTTTACATCTTCAACCATATGCTCCCCTTCGGAGTAATGGGCTACAGAACATTCGACTGGAAACCCTACAACTTTGGCAATTTGAGCTTTATTTACCCCAGAGACGGAGACGGCCAGGCCTGGCCCAGCTCGCCCATTAACGATGAGCTGCAAAGCCAGAAACTTCCCATCCACGAGCCTCAGGCGAACTTGTGCCCTTTGTCTTGGCAATGTAGGGGCCTTAATAATCATCCATACTGTTCTGGGGGGTTCCTCATTTTAAGTACTAAATTATCAAGGCCCCTATATTAATCGCCCTCTTCAGACTGGCAGATGCTTCGTCGAAAGGAGTGGCGACCCGGTTCAGGACTTTGAAGGTTCGAGGCTCGACCCCCTGAAGGTCACTTTAATCGCGTCATAGAAGGCTTTTGTTTTTTCACAGGGGTGTGAACTGGCACTCGCTCAAGAGAAGAAGACTGAAAGTGCAATGTGCATGTGCTTTCAAGCTTTGTGCGCCCTCCTGCTGTAGCAGGGGTCGCTTTGAGCCTTGCTCCGGTGCAACATTGAAAGCCTACAAGTGCCTAAACAAACCAAAACCTGAACCCTTCACCCAAAGAACCCTGACTCCCTCAAGCCCGCAAACACAACAAGATTTATGCAGCCCTGAACCCTTAGGAACCCAAACACGCCTCTTTCCTGAAACCTTGCACTACTCCGGCTATCATGGGGAACTAAAGGTTAACCTTTTTGGTTATATAGGGTTATATAGGGTCTATACTACCCAAAAAAGGTTAAAGGTTTCCTACTCTACTACTAGGTTAGTGCCTCCACAGGAGCCCTCAAAGGACCCGGGATCCCCCACCAAGTGGTGCCACCGTGGAGCGTGTGAGGGGTCTGTTTCGACGGGTCAGTGCGGAGCTTGAACGGCCTCGGCTATGAAGAACTGAGGAGCTTTCGAATCCGAAAGCTTCTTACATCCTGAAGGACGCCTAATTGAAGGCTCTTAAGGATTAGGCTGGAGTTTGATGCGCCACAGCTATCTTGACGAAGGCTTCTTCAGGGCCAAGGGTTCAGGGTTTGTGAAAAAGCCTTCGGGAGTTTTGGAGCATGTCGGTCAAGGCTTGGGAGAAGTAGTTTTACCTGCTGGAACGTGCGACGCCAAAGAAGACGTGAGAAAGCATCCGCCAAAAAGCTTCTGAAGGCCACCGGCACGCATTTTGCATCCGGGCTCGGGGGGTAGCCCTAAACCCTTTTTGAACCCAGACTCTGCCGGTCAGCTGCCCTAAACCCTAAACGGCTGTGCCACGCGGCGGGTACGGCAAGAGCTGGATAGGGAAGTTCGTGAGCGGGCACATCAACTGCTGGCGCGACCTCCAGAGATGCAGAGCACCAGAGTTCTAGAGCCAAAGCATTCTGATTATAGCAGTGCTAGTATAGTAAGTAGAATACAGTGCAGAAACACATATATGCATATCTTGAAGAAAACCAAAATGTGGCAGCTTTTCGGGGCAGGGTTTCGGGTTCAGGGGTTCAGGGCTCATGTCTTAGAGCATAGACTATACGAGGATAGTTTTGGGAATTGTTCAAGGCTCTAGGAAGCCCAGGAATCACGTACCTTGTCCACCAGCGGCTGTCGTTTCCATCACCACCCTTGTCCAAACTGCCTGCGGATCCGCGTCGACCAAGCCTAGCCTGGGGTCTGTCGAGGCATGTCACAGGGCTTGATAACGGTTTAGGGTTTAGGGTTTAGGGCTGAAGATATAAATCCTGTACTACCCGTAACAACGAAAAGACCCTTCTTCCCATAGTTTAGGGTCCTCAAGGTAATTCGGGATTTATATCATCAACCGTAGGGTGTCCTTTTTGAATAAGGATGCTGATACCGAGTATATGCTGTCTTATGGGCCTGTACCATCTCAATGTCACGGCTTCCGCAGAGAACTTCTGGCTTTCGTCTGCTTTAGTGTTCAACAGGGGCTTAAACCAAGTACAAGTGCACGCCTGCCAGGAAGCCCTGCGTCCTGAAACCTCAAAATGAAACAGAAACAAAGAACACACTAATGTAGGGGCCTTAATAATTAGAATAGGGTTTTGGGGCCCATTGTACTATAATCATAATAAGGAACCCCCACCATAATATTGGTAATTATTTAGGCCCCTATATTATGCCTCTTCTATTGCACCGAAACCACGTGCTGCAAAAGCCGCTCCATTATCAGGAATGCAATTTCGGCATGGCAAGTATGCCGCACAACCTGATCCGAAGTATACGCACCGGTACACTCACGCTACCGTCAGCCCGTCAAAAGCATCGGATACTTCAGGGCTAGAAAGCTCCCCAGAGTCAAGGGTCACAGCAGCTTGGCTTCTGAATCGGCTCGGTACTTTGAACGCGACTCTTCGTCTACATCCAAGGCAGAAGTATCCTACATCAAGCTGTCAAAGCCTTCTGGCTCTACTGAACCAGTTGACCAATTGTAGGTAAGTCTTTGATAGCACGTCTCCTCGACAAATGCTGAAAACCTACCACAAGTAGTTGGACTAGTTACTTTTAGGGTTTAGGGTTTAGGGCAAGTTTAGGGTTTAGGGTTTCGGGCAAGTTTAGGGTTTAGGGTTACTAGTTTGAAGAGTTTGTAGCACCTCGAGGCTTTGGTTCCAGGCTAAGGGCTTCTTCACTTCTATTAGGGTTTAGGGTTTAGGGTTTAGGGTTTCTGATGCTGGAGGCCTCTCCGAGGACTCGCCTTTTTGAGCACTTTCAGAGCACAGCTAACCCTGAATAGCACACAGCTCGCATGCTACAGCCCTCCCTCTCCCGAGGAACATCAAAGTTGGGCGAGGTACCATCCTGGAGATGTTCTTGTAGGGATTCTTGGCACCCTTCGCAGGCAGTGGCTGCACCAGCTCCTCACACTTCGTTTCGGCTGTGGCCTGCCAGGGTCAAGAATTGGCATCCCGAGACCTAGCGCAGGAGCCAACTCCTGGGGTTTAGGGTTTAGGGGTTTGTAGGGCGTTAATTGTTTAGGGTTTGGGGTCTGAGAACCCGCCTGCAGGGGAGCTTCGAAGCAGCGGTTCAAGGTCATCAGGTCTGGCTTGGTCTGCAACAGCTTCACCAAGAGCTGCGTGGATGGTGTCGGGATGAACATTGGCCTCGGACTCGGGTTCAAATCATACTGAGGCTACATGTACCCTCCGCGGGGTTAGTCTCATTACAACCTGACTTATAAGTACGAAGGACCGGGAGCCGTCAAGAAGCTTTAGGGTTCAGGGTTCCCAGAGACTCCAATATCCCTTAATTAAGGAATATTCCTTAAATCCTATTAGGGATCCTACTATAATTTAAGGTATATTCCTTAATTAAGGGATATTGGAGTCTCTGGGTTTAGGGGCCATCTCGGAAGGCAATACGTGACCAACACCGACAGTACCCATGTGCAAACACACACCATGTCAAAAGAGAACCCCGCCCTACATGGTCCCGAACCAGCCAAACCCTAAACCCTAAACCCTCCCCCGCCAACCCTGGGACCCTAAAACCCGAAACTCTTTTTCGTAGGTCGGGATTTTCCAAATTCCAGCAACCCTAGTTTACACAGGCTTGATCGGAGCTCGCATAAACCCGTTACGCTGATCCTCAAGCAGACCCTAAGCTAAAACCCTCAAGTAGACCCTTTTTCAGCACGGACTGAGGTGCCGGCCAGCGCCCACGAAACTCGTAGCCCCGTTTTAAGGCAAGAGTTCGAAGCTCAAGTAGACCCTAAACCCTCAACGCAGCTGAACCTAAGCTTTATGATTATTATATATTATGATGATGTATATAAAATATTACATATTGTATAATCGAAGCCCCGCAGTTGGGCCGAGGCACTCCTGGAGGCTGAGATGCCTCAGGGCCATGTCCACGGCTGTGAGAGGCGCCAGGGCCATAAATCCACAAAGTGACGGAGACGGCTGACAGCTTCCGAAGCTTGAGTGTGCAAAGCTGCAGTGCCAGGACATGTATCTGTATGTACCTACATACATATACATACATATATATATATATATAATATATATATATATATAATATATATATATATATGTATACACGTGTATCTATATGTGTGTATACATATATATATATATATATACATACAACATATCTATCTGTCTGTCTATACAGGGGTTTTAGGTATAAGATCTCTGAAAGCTTTATTCAGGGCTTGCGGTGTTCCTTCAGGACATGTAAGCTAAGGGCCTTAATGACTGGAATAGGGATTTGTGGTGTATTGTAGCATAACTGATATAACTGCAAACGAAGACTACATTGACGAAAGGAAATACTCTAGCTAATTGTTTTCAGATCCCCATATTACTTGTGAGCATTCGGCATGAGTACGCTCGTGATGCTAACGGACGGGGCCGCTTAGCTTATGCATTCAAACTTCTGGTGAATCAAATCACGAAGCCATTACGGTTGACGGCCCTACTTGCTGGAGAACCGGAGAACGAACCAAACCCACGTTAAAACGGCTGCATTTGCTGTTGTCACAGTTCTGCAGCACTACACCTTTTTTTTCTTTTTTGTAAAAGGTTTCCCACGCTACCGTATGTTCGCCAAGGCAAGTTAAAGACGTGTGTACAAGGAGCCGCATCACGTCTGGCCAAGTAATCGTTCGTAGTCACCTGAGCACAGTCGCAAAATCTCCGAGGCCCTCCTTTTTCAGTTTGCCAACACCTGCTGCAGAAGCAGCAGCAACAATCAGAACAACAAGCAGCAACGAGGTAAACGCCAAGAGCGTCGATGCAATTAGGATTTTTTGCGTGCTTGCTCTAGACTTGGAGTACAGTAAATGCCGGAAAGTTGGAATATCATTATCATAATCCCTTTAAGGTAGATTATAGGGGATCCTGCCATTATTCCATATTCCAACTTTCTGGAGTTCCACTTAAGAGTTTCAGCCACGGTCCCAGTTTGTTCGAGTTCAGACCGGTTCTCTTCCATGCTACAAAAGAAAGTCCCGATGTTGGGGTTTAGCATCTACTTAAAGGATCATGGGACTTAGTAAGTAGGTTTTAATTGGGGTTCTAAGTCCCCTAAGTGGGGTTACCCTAATTACAACCTAGTTATAGCCTTACTTACTAAGTCCCATGAGCCTTTAAGTAGGGGCAAGTTACAAAAGCTAGCCCTACTGTTGGGGTTCAGGGGTCAGCCGAGCCCCTTTTTCAAAGACTTGTTTGCGCTTCTGCGCTCATAAACCCCTTTTTGAACGAGGTTTCTCAGAAGTGCCTCATAACCCCCGAAACCCTAAAGCGATACCAAAAATCCCACAGCCAGGCGGTACGGCCTGAACTCAAACCCTAACATGCGGAACCTTGAAAACCCAAGGCGCAAAACCTTTACTGTAAATACTGTTGCTATACTTGTTCGAACCGCTTAAACCCTAACTCTTTGTTGAAGCAGGGCTCTACAGCTATAACCTTTGTAATCCGGAGCACAAGCTCAAAGGGTCCTAGGTGCTGTTATGGGGGATACTGTCCCAAATCATGATAGTACTCCCTAATATAGAAACCCTACATTCTACGACAGTTGGACCCTAAATCCCTATAGAAACCCTTAAAGGAGCCTTTTCAGGAAACCCTTATTGGTACTTCGGAGCCTTTGGGCAAAGCCCCGATTCTGCAGGCACGGTACCACGTGGACCCCCTGACCTGCACTGAACACTGTCGACCCATAGTCTCTACTACAGTACGGCTTTTCAGAGGTTGAGGGTTTAGGGTTTAGGATTTAGGATTCAGGATTTCCGGTTTCGGCGCTCACACTCGGACAAGTTTAGGGGTTTTTTCCCTCCTACCAAGTTTAGGGGTTGAGGGTTTAGGGTTTAGGGTTCAGGATTTCCGGTTTAGGGTTTAGGGCTTTGGGCTCGCAACTCGGACTTGCCAGACGCGGTCTCTGTGTTCGGGTGCACGACTAACTCTAAGGTTTTAGAGTTTTGGAGGTTAGGGCCTAGGGGTTTTGGAGTTCCAGGGTGTAGGGGTTTTGGAGTTTAAGGGTTTAGGGGTTTTGGAGTTCAGGGTTTAAGGGGTTTGGAGTTTATGTAGGGTTTAAGGGTTGCGGAGTTCAGGGTTTAGGGGTTGCGGGTTGCATGGCGCAATTAATCACCGGGTTTCGGTCCTGAGATGTACAGGAGTTCGGCTGTAACACTGGAACCATTGTTAGGTTCAAGGTGTCGGAGTTTGTGTGTCTCTTGCACTTCTGCGTTTTTTTTTTTTTTTTTTTTTTTTTTGCTGGGGTTGCTATAAGCACGTGAAGACACATTTCGAAGTGTCTTGGGTTCTGAGGGGTCTGAATCTTCATTAAGGTCGACATGGTTTCAGGAAATCCTGTGCAGCAGGACCAAGATTCGAAACCCTTTGTCTCCTCGATCCTATCAAAATACATTGCTACAACCTAAACTTTCACACTACACAATACTATACTATACTTCATACTATATACCATATGCTACATACTGTTCCATATTACATACTTGACTTGACTACGGCACGGAAAAGCAGTCCCCGACCTGCCAGAGCATTGAGAAATGCCGCGAGGATCGCCACCAGCGTCTTGCCCTCGCCCGTGGCCATTTCCTAAAGTTCTGAGTAGCTCCTTTCTACTAAACCCTGCACCATAAAACCCTGTAAAAAGGGTTAATATTCTAGATTACTGAAGAGCCCCGGACCCTTGTCCTGCTAGTCGGTGCTTAACAAGGGTCCCCAAAAACAAAAAGGGCAAAAGGGTACTACTCAGGAACCTAGCTTCTGCGACGCCCCCCTGGTGAAGGACAATGCCACCTGCTTGTAGGCTCTGGGCTGCGCGACTTCAGAGTTTAGGGAAGTTTGGGTTTTAGGGTTGAGGGCTTAGGGTTTCGGGCATTTCATAGTTGTTCACCTCCCAAACTTGTTGTTGCATGAGGGGGCCCGACTAAACACCCCAGCCGGAAGCCTAGACTCTATCTCACTCCAAATCCAATCCATCGTACAGCTCTGGCCAACAAAGCCCCGGGTCTCTGAAGGCTCATACACAATCACACTTTCGAAGCAAAAGCATTCATCTGATGAGGCCACCAAGAAAACAAGATCCAGAAAGGACAGCGCCTTCTTGCAAAGCTGCTTAGCGGTTTAGTGTTCCCAAAATGACTCCAGTACATAATAGCTCGCGAAGCCTGTTGTAATTATTGAGCCCTTATCTACATGTCTATCAGTCTATCTTTCTGTATGTCTGCATGTGTATGTATAATTATGTGTGTATAATATATATATATATATATATATATATATATATATATATATACATATATATAGACACACACACACACACGCGGGGACATACAGATACAGATACACGGCCGCACTGCAGGTCCCGACATTTTTCAGCCATCTTTACACAATAGTATTGTGTATATATATATATATATATGAATATAACAAAATCAAAGCCTGCTAGACTTCCATAGAACCGAAAATAACAGAATCAAGCAGAATAAAAATTAGCATATACTAACAAAGAGTAGGTGCGATATGGTTTTAAGGGTTAGGGCCCTGGATGCTTGTCTTGTCTTTTCCTACGAAAAGCGTACGAAAGAGCTTGATTATCAGGATTTCAGGATTGCAAGCTTCTATGAAGGGCTAGGAAGCGGTGACATAAAGCATGCAACTCCGTGATTTGAGGGCAATGGCTGACCATGTCCTGGCATCGAATTAAGCTCACCAAGTCTATCCTAAACGCTGAACCCGAAACCCTAAACACCCGAGTACTTAAAGGATCATGGGACTTAGTGACTGCAGGTTATAATTGCGGTGATAAGTCCCCTAAGTAGGCTTTGCCTGACAATAATTGTAACCTACTGATAACCTTACTTACAGTGGCGCACCCATCAGCTGCACATCGAAATGCCGTAGACCCAGCACGCGCTTGGAAGCCTCTCGCACCTCGGTACATTCTGGATTGCATCAGAACTACCGCATGAGGCGTCTATTGCCGTACCATATTAACAAGATGTGGGGTCAGCAGTATGTAGCAGCAGGGCTCTACCTTGGCTACGGAACTGCTCGCGGATCATCATTGCCTCCAGCTACCCCACCCACACCCTGCTACAAACAAGGGTCTGGCAAGCAAGTCTCTACACACGACTGCCTACCCGAGCAACTCAAGCCAATTATGCCACACATCGACGTTGATTGTCAAGGACCCCAACAGTCCTGGCAGCCAATTGTCAGACACGTCCTTCGAAAACCAATCACACGTTAATTGGCTATGATGTTATCGGGTCGCCCGACGATCGTCCACGTCGCTGGCCAATATTAGGGGATGCGGTATCGAACTCCTAACCTAAAGCCGATCATGAACCATCCCAGTCCGGGTTCAGTAGCCCTACAGATCCTCAACCTTAAACCGTAACCTTGAACCCGACCTCTCACTGAAAAGGGCTCGTCAAAGCGGCCAAAGCAAACGCTTCGGGCAGCAGCTCATCCAGGGCCTTCGGAGACAGTAGAGGGGGCTTACTAGGTTCAGGGTGTTTATATCTTGCGAAAATGGTTTAATATATGTTTTGATAAGACACCACCAAAATAGTATAGGCAATTGTCAAAGCACCGATATTATATTGCATGATGCTCTTGGGATGGAACAAAGGGAGAGCCAATCATACTCCTCGGTCGGCAGCTGCAGGTAGGCCACGGATCGTCTCCATTTACAATAACAGGACTACCCTGACTACCCTAAACCCTAAACTTCAAAGGCCCTAAATCAACAGCCTCAGCTGCCTTAGCTCTCAACACAAACCTAGGCCCTAAACCCTGCAGCCCCACAGCAGCAAACACTCAGCGCCCGAATCCTCGAATAACTCAAAGGTTGGGGACCTGAGCAGCAAAGCACCTGAAACAGCCCCTGGATGTAACACAACTCCATCAAAGCATGAGAAGCACAAAGTAAACTAGAGCAACTAAAAGAAACAACAAAACTAAACCCTAAACCCTGCAAAAATATAGACCCTAAACCTAATATGGTCCTCCAACCACGGATTGTTTAATAGGGGCTTTAGGGTTTAGAACTTACGAAGAAGCCCACCTGAACCCTAAACCACCGTGATGCCATGGCCTCGCCCTCTTGTGCCCTCTGCCGCAGCTGCGCCGAGGTCGCCTTCATCTCCTCCTTGCCTTGGCGTTCAGGGTTTAGGGTTTTGGGCTTTCCATGGTATTTAGTTTAAGTTTTGGGGCTTCAGGGTTTTAAGGGTTTTAGCGAATTTTGGTTGCCTGCCGTGACTTTCTTGCCGATCTTTTTGAGGGTTGCTGGTGGGCTCAATGACCTTTAGTAGGTTACAATTAGGGTTCCAAGTCCCTTGAAGGGTTATCCTACTTGTAAACCCTACTTTCATAAGTTATCTACTACGTTCCATGAGCCCTTTAAGAAGGTTCAAGGTTTTCGTAGCTTTTGTGCATGGGGTTTTGTTCCCTTGGGTTTTTTATACGGCAGTAAGTTTTGAAGCACTGCTTGTGTCTTTCGAGCTTCACGCCTTCAGACGAAGGTTGTGGGGCGGTTGCTCACATCTCGCGGGGTCCACAAACTCAAAAGAAGTTGAGAAGAAGTTAACGCCTTATGATGCAGCCATCAAGCAGAAAAGCCCAAAGTCTCAAACCCCCAAGTCCTACAGCACATTCAACCCGTAAGGCAAGCCTGCCGGCCTCACACCATGAGCTCAACTCCCCAGAGAGCCCAATACCCCTTGATTAAGGCATATAGCTTAAATCATAACATGAGGGCCTTTATAAAATAATGCATATTCCCTGATTAAGGGGTATTGGGCTCTCTGGGTCTAGTCTATCCGTAGGCACCTAGGCGCAAACTGGATTGTAACCAATCTTGGCGGAGCAAAGCTTTCACAGCATCCACGGCAGCCTCCGGTCTCTGGGGCTTATACGATGCTTCCAAAAATTAGGGGCACATCATTTTGGGGTCCTTATAATAAGGGTCCTACTACGAGGGTAGTATATTAAGGGCCCCTGCTTTTGGAAACTCCCATACGACCTTTCGGAGTTTGTCTGCATTTTAGGGTTAGTTGTGTCTTGGGTTTTCTGTGCCTTGGTACACTTTTTCCCACTTGTGCGTGTCATCCTCAGGCCTCACCTAAACCCCCAAAGTGAGCAACATAACGGCCCAACATGCCTTTGCAAAGCTTTGATTCTCATACATCCTTTTGGACTCCAGGGTGCTTAAAACTCCACATGGGTGGTTGTCCAAATTATGGTCCCTCTTTGGGTACCCTAAATATTAGGGATCCAAAAGGGGGCCATAATTTTGACAACCACCCACATGATCTAGGATACCCAGTAACCTAAGAATAAAAAGGCCTCTCTTTTTGGTATTGGGTAACTTTATAGGGAACCTAGGACTACAAAAAGGGAATAAGGGTACTACTGGGCATCCTAGTGATACTTTCTCTGAAGGATCAGCTCAGGGACTGAGAGCGGACACTGTCGGCTCGAGGGCGTTGATCGCCTGAGCGCTGGGCTTAGGATTTAGGGTTTACTTGGGTGTTAGGGGTTTAAGGTTCTGGATGGTTTCGGGGTGAACTGTGGAGCTGCAGAGGCGAAAAAAGAAACTGCATGGTCATTATGACGGATTTGGGGGGGGAGTGGTATCATTTGTTCCATGCAAGTACCATGCAGTGATTCCACGAATAGTCATTCTGAATCTAGCCTCTTTCCGGGTTTGGGGCTCCACTCGAGAGCTGTGCCTAGCATTCGACTCTCACATAGGAGGTTGAGAAGAAGGCGACCCGAAGAATGACCCTAACAAGAAGGATCCTTCAATAGCCTTCATATCAGGCCACTCATTGCAAGAAGCAGCCGTGTACCTCGCGAACTATGACTTCCAAGGCTGTCTAGACTGGAGGGCCGCATGAGGAGAACCCCAACCCAGCAACGGACTTAACACTTAAGGCAAACTTAACAGGTTGGACGCAGGAAGGCTGCAAGAGAATTGGACCGATCTTTCTGTCCGCGCAAGCCTCGACCAAGGGAGCCAGGCGTCGCCGTGTCTGTTCTGCAGGCTCCTCAGGGGCGGGTTTCGGAAAAAACGTTGTCGCTGCTACCGTTAGTTCAAAGACTGCGGTTACAGTAGGCCCAGTAGGCTTTGCAGGTTTTGCCACGACCAGTGCTACCGTTCTGCTGCTACTAAACGGCATGGAAGTACGAGTCAATACGACAGGCTTGCCTCTCGCGATCGCGGCAAGAGCCAGCCTCTGGCCCGAAGTTTTGGAAATCCATTTTCGGTCCACTGGCACCAACACGCAAAGCCGAGGGTTCAGAGCTTCGAGCAGTGTGGGCCAAAACCCAACTCGATCATCTCGATCACACTTCAAACCTTCAACCCTGAGCCAAAACCGTCACAAAGAGAGCCGTAGCCCCATGCCCAATCCCAACTGAAGGCGCCCACACAGGTTGCAAAAGCCATATAAGTTCAAGCTCCACCCCTCTCACCGTGCCCCCTAAACCCTATAGAGCCCTAAAATCCTAAACCCTATAATCTAAACCCCTGAAACCCTAAAACCTAAACCCTAAGACCCTAAATCCCATAAAACCCTGAT